TGTCTGACTAAGATGCTCAGATTTCAGTTCCTCCTAGCATTTATCATTTATTTTGAATTTAAATCTTCATTCTTCCTTACAAAATATCTGTGTATTTCTTAGCATCTAAGCATTTTATTTCTCTCTCTGTTTGAAGGTATTTGCTGATCCCACTACAAGTCTGTGTTAATTAAATGAAATACAATCACAGTGTTTTGGTTTCATAAATATAGGCATAATAGTTGTCAGAGGCCAATATTATTATTATGAGGTTGCACAGGAAAAACCAGAAGTGTAAAGAGCAGTGTATCACCCTTTCACACACATCCATTTGCAGCAAAGCTCCTTGTGCAGAGGAAGTACACTCTGAAGAGTGCCCTTTGCCTTTCTATTCACAAAGGGAATTCAGTATTTCTGCAATACAAGTGCAGCTGCAACAGTGGGACTGAACTTCTGTCTCAGCAATGCATTTCACCATCCAGCAAATTAGTAAAGAGCCACAAAAGAATAAAACGTTTAGAATGCAAAAGCGCCTGCCATGCATTTATTATGATGAATAACAATTAATTTATCCATGCAAACTGCTAGATAAAGATTACAATGTGAGCAGCCTTATGTGGAGCACAGCAAGAGATGGGGCTCGCTGCTTGAGTTTTCATTCTATTGGTGTTAACACGCAGAGGCATCTATTTTATTGTGAAGCCTTCAGTTATCTTCACGAGCTGCCAGAGCTTTAACTTGTGTGCATGGGTGAGTGTTTTGCTCGTGAATCAGCTGTCACATCATTGCAAAGATATTTATTTCATGACACTTGAGAAGCAAGCTGCATGTAGGCACTTTGAAGAGCTATGCATCAAGAACTGTAGGTTTGGCACCACTGAGCTAATATATATATAAGTGGGGCATAAAGGCACAAGTCACAGCTCACAAAGAAGGAAGGTGGAAGAAAGTGGTGGATGAAATCTCTGTGATTTCCCTCTCTGGAAACACCCACAGTTTGAGTCAGGGAAAATGGCTAGATGCCAAATGACACAAGAAACTATTCTCAGATTCTAACCCGAGGATACTGTGGTGGCAAACATTCCCTTTTCCTCCTAGATTCCTGAGGTAGAGAAAATCTAGAGGGAAAACACTTAACAATAATTATCATTAGTAGAAAGTAAACACTGATCCATAATTCTATTCTAGCAATTGTATGGAAAGAAGAATGGTGTCTAGGCTAAAGCATAGAATTGCGAACAGGAATGCTTAGCGCTGTCAGATTTTGTATAAAACTTTGAGCAAGTCACTTGGGCCATGTCTACACTACAGATAAGATCAAAACAGCCACAGTCAATCTTCTGGGGTTCGAATTAGTGGGTCTAGTGAAGACATGCTCATTGGAACTGAGAAGGCACTCCTGTTGATGCCGGTAGTCCTGTTGCTACGAAATCAAAGAGAAAGTATGTTCCCTTTAACATCCCATTGTGGAGAGCACCAAAATTCTAGTTAAGATACTTTGACTTAAGCTACACAATTAACATAGCTGAAGATGCATATCTTAATTCAAACTTATCCCCTGGCGTAGACCAGGCCTTGGTGTGCTTGTACTTCACTATCCCCACCTGAAACCCTGGGGATAGTAACATTAACTCAGAGGGACATTGAAAACAATCATTCATGCATCAGATTGAAATGTTCTAAAATTCTTGGCTACAAAAGGTATAAAAATGCAAAAAAGTATTATTCTGATTTTCTGCATTGTTCAGGAAGCATTCCAGCAGTTGTTTTTGTTTCATAAAAACATGGATGAGCTTACAGACTCTCTCTAGGTCCCAAAGGTCAAATGAAAGGCTAGAATTACAAAACAGGAAGCGGAGGGACAGTGCCAAGTGAAAGGTCCAAAGTCAAGTGAATGACTAATTGCCTGGTGAAAGTTAACTATGCAGATACATGAGCTATGCATGTGTGTGGCATTATATAAATAACGATAACAAATAATAACCCGAATGAATTGTCTTCCATCTGAGGAAAAAGACTTTCTGACCTAAAATGTTGTAATCTCATGCTGCTGTAACAAATACCCAATTTTCTGTTCCTACAAAAATAGTTACATAAATTGTATTTCTACTCACGTTAATTTAAGCTCCTTCTGCAAACACTCATCTGAAAATGCACAGAGCAAGAGTTCAACTATTTTCACATCTGAAGAGTTTGGTGTGTAGTAATCTTCTCTGGAGTGGGCTTCTTTGAGCATTCCAATAGTTTTATATGTCTTTTGGTATTTTGGTATTTTGACATACAACTGAGCACAAAGCTGCATGTGGGACAGGTTATTTCAGACTATTGCATGACATGAGGCACAGGGCACGAGTTTCCTCATATCAACAGATCTTTCATCCCCTGTTCACACTCCTTCACATTAGCATGTAAGAAGTTCCTACAAAGTGAGGCTCTACTCCCCTACATACTGCCCACCCCTTTTCATTCAGAGTCAGAGGATGTTATGGGAGTTTTCCCCATACTGATTACACAATCCAACTCTTTGAAGAGGATGCAGGGGTGAGAGAAGGGATGGTTAGTGAAATCTAAAAACATGCCAGTGGGGTTTTGTTTTTATTTTTTTTAATCTTTGTAATCACTATGGTCAAAATTCTGCACTCATTTACACACTGAACACATTACCTCCAAAATGACACTATGGGGTAAAGTAGTCTTTCTGGCATTTTATAGACAAAATCCCGAACCACTTGAATTCAATAGCAACATTTCCATTGACTTCAGAAGGGTCACGATGTCACTTTATGGTCACATAAGAAGCCTATACCTTCACTTATATACATAGAGGGAGGGATGAAGTAGATGAAGAATAGTGAATGGAACCAGCCCATGACCCTGACCCTATGTTTCATGAGGTGCTGAGTGCTTTCATATCCCTTGGGTTTAGTTTTTTGAACACAACTAACTTGCATCTGTTGGCTTCATTTTTACTCTTTTTGCACCTACATGGCAGAATATGGCCCAGAGTTTTTAGAGCTATGAATTGGAACAGCATGTGCTTAAGAAAGAGGATAGAAAATATGACTGATTTGCTGCTATAGCTGTTCTAGGCTTTTGGGTTTCTGATGGGAGAAATTGACTTGTGCTTTTATAATCGGTGCAAGTTTATCCAGCTTTTAGAATTCTTGCCTTGTGTCCAAAAGAACTGTAGTACATCTATTGTATCAAGCTAATGCCTACTTGGCTGGATTTGGCAAATCCTCATCTCTATTCTTTGAGAACAAAAGGAATACTTTATTTCCTTTTCAAATACATGCTACAGTTTCTCAGAGTGGCAGCTCATGAAATCCTTCACAGTGTTGCTTGGAAAGAGAAAATTCTACCTTAGCTTCAGTCAAGGGGTAACTAGTAATATGCGATCAAATTGTGGCTCATAGATACTTCTTAAAAGAATAAAATCTGAACACGTCTCTTCTGGACTGCTCAACGTATATCTTCAGGAGATGGCAGGAATGTGGTACAGAATAATATGCAAAGAAACTAAAACAAAAGAGGATTTGATTCAGAATACCGTTTTTAATTGCATTTTACTTGATTAAATTCAAAGGCAAATTGCCACTGGTTAGCAGGTAAATAAAAGCATCTTTGGATTATTAAAGCTAAATGTCAGCCTCATTCTAGCATAAGGAAATGACACTTCATGAACAACAAAGGAACCTTGGGAAAATGTAATAATCTCCTGGGCATTTAAAAAAAAGAAATAATAAAAAAAAGCCTTTAAAACTGTAATATTGTATCAGGGCATCCCTTTAATTTAAATAAAAGCACATTAGTAGAAAAGGAAAAAGACTAGATTGATTTTTGAAAAAGATAAACAAATACATATGGAATGGAGAAAAGAAAAGTCAGTATAATGCATAGAAGATACATTATATACCATGGGATGATATATTATTAAGCATAGATTATATGCTTTGCCTTCTAAAGTCCTCACCTTCCAAAAATATGGAATATCTAACTAGCTAGATACAGCTTTCATGTTTCAAAGGGAAGAACAGTCAGGTTATTGTTAAAAGATTTGCACAGATTGAACTGTTATGTTAATTTCCCCTGCTAATTTAAAGGCCAACATCTCTTGAAAAAAAGTCAGATATGAATAGATTTGTATGGAAAGTTCAATATAGTTTTAAGGCATTGTTAATATTAGAAGATGTCCTTAAATGTATAACACTGGGAGGATAGTAGAAATACAAATTTAATGTTTGGACTTGTAAGATTTAATATTGTCTCTTAAGGGATCTACTCAGAGCTGCTGTAGAAGTAGTTGGACTAGTACTAATTTCTCTCCCCGCTTCCATCCTAAGAAGTTTGGACGTGTTCAAAGCCTGTGATACTATAGTTAGTAGTGTTTAATATACTGTCGTCTCAAAAAGTAATGTCTTAATGCAAAAGATAGAAATATTTGTCACATACCAATACACATTTTAGCCCTATATCACAATGGTTTAAAGTTATTGTATACCATTCTTATGGTGATTGTTCTTATTATGTACTACACTGTATATATCATTATTATATACCAACATAAAAGGCATTAGGCTGGTCTTTGGCTAGTGCATTTTGTCATTGTTCCATTATAATCACAGTCTGGTTCTTGTTAAAAGTCAGTCTCTAACAACTGCATCATGTACCTGATACACAGAGCTAAAGTCAAATCCTCAGACTTCCTGAGCACCTACAGCTCTCACTGGTTCAGGTGCTTGGTACCTCTCAAAAATTCATCGATAGGACCGAATCATTGAAGCCATTGCCAAAATTTAAGCTGGTTTCAGAAGGAGTAAGATCAGGTCCTATTTTCTATTCTATATATAGAGAACTACTGTAATACTTCATATTTACTGTATAGTAATGTGTTTTTAATTATGCCTACTGCAGCGTTAAATTTAGCTGTCTTCAGTCTCTGTTAATTATTGTCAGATAAAGCAGAGTTCATTTCTTCATTGTGTGTAATATTGATTTGTTTGTTTTTTTTACTGTTGTAGAGATCCAAACCAGCCTGTTCCACAGGACACAAAGTTCATCCATACAAAACCCAACCGGTTTGAAGAAGTGGCCTGGTCTAAATATAACCCTAAAGACCAGCTCTATCTGCACATTGGCCTGAAACCCAGAGTTCGGGATCACTATCGAGCAACAAAAGTTGCCTTCTGGTTGGAACTCGTACCACATTTGCACAACCTAAATGAAATATTTCAGTATGTTTCCACAACAACTAAGGTGCCACCTCCTGATATGACATCATTTCCTTATGTCACCAGACGTTCTCCTGGAAAGCTCTGGCCAGCAACCAAACGCCCAGCCATGACACCAGCCAACACTAAACATTCAAAGGACACTCACAAAACAGCCCCAGAGGATACAACAGTTCTGATCGAAAATAAGCGAGATTACTCCACGGAGCTGAGTGTCACCATTGCAGTGGGGGCATCTTTGTTATTCCTCAACATTTTAGCTTTTGCTGCATTGTATTACAAGAAAGACAAGCGACGTCATGAGACACACAGGCGCCCCAGTCCCCAGAGGAACACAACCAATGATATAGCTCATATACAAAATGAAGAGATTATGTCATTGCAGATGAAACAACTAGAGCATGACCATGAGTGTGAATCGCTGCAGGCACATGACACTCTGAGACTAACCTGTCCACCTGACTACACCCTTACTTTGAGGAGGTCCCCAGATGACATTCCACTAATGACACCCAACACCATAACAATGATTCCAAATACATTAACAGGAATGCAACCTTTGCATACTTTCAACACCTTCAGTGGAGGACAAAACAGTACTAATTTACCCCATGGACATTCCACCACTAGGGTATAGCTCTCCCATTTCCCCCTCTTATCCCACAAGCCACTTGGAAGAAAAAGAAGTAGAGAAAGAGCATTCACCATTGAACAACTTATTGAAAACAACAAAAAGTAAACACAAATGGCAGTCGTTATTTTCTTACTGATCCTTCCCATAGGAACTCTCTGATATTAAAGATCAGCTTCAAACCCTGTGAAATGTGAAACATGTACATTGCTGTTATGATACTGCTTAAGATCTCAGCCGCTTTGAATGAAAGTTGATGCCAGAAGAAATCACTTGAAAGGGTGTTTTGAAAGTAACGAACAGAAGCAGAATCTTCTGCAACACAAAGCCAGTGACTGTACAGTTTTTTAAAATATGAAATTAAAAAAAAACAATTCTTTATGTGCCATACCATGAATGGCCCTTGTTAAAACAAAGACATCACCATGGGCTTTTATCCAGCATAAGAAGCTGTAACCAGAAGGGGGAAATAGGATTTTATTATTAAAAAAGAGGACTATGCAGTAAAATATGTATAGTTCTGTGCAAAGAGATGACTTGCCAGCCTGAACTATATTTAAAGAAACTTTGTAAAAAGTGTACATAGCTGTGAGTTAAAAAAAGGCTTTTATTGACGTTTTCAGTTTGAAAAGACCTTTTAGAAATTGTGCTTTCAGTTGTGACCTATGTGTATATACATTAGTCATATCACCTCGGTTTCCTCCAGACCAAATGGAGGATTTTCTTCTTAATTATTAGTGGTGAACAAAAACATGAGGTTTTTTTAACATGTTTCATTTATAAGAGGACATGGTGTCATACAGAGAGTACAGTTGTCTGTGTGACCTGCGTATTTTCCCTTACAGGTTACACAAGTGCATGTGAAAGCATTCTTAGGAGACAGTTGGGGTTTTATTTAGATTTCTTTCCTTTTATTTTTGTTTTAGCCTTCATTAAATTGCAACACAGAGATGGATCAGAAAATGCAAATCACAATTAATGTTTTAAGCTTATTGAATTGAACAAAGAAACAACAATACAGTGAGTCCAGTTTTGTAGTTGTTGGTTATTTTAATACATTAGGAAGACTTGACTTCACAATCTAGTGCCCTGACAAATACAAGGAAAAACCTGCCTCTTGGTCAGTCTTTTATGAGGAAAACTAGCTCTATATTCACCAGCAGCTTCAGAAGAGCTTTTGCTGAAGAAGCATCCACTCAGCTTTGCCAAACCGACGAAAAAGGAAACTGGAAAGAGGAAAGGGGTGAGGGAGGTTTGTTTGGATTTTTAAAAGTGGTAAGATCATGACTGATTTGTATGCAAAGAGTTTTTCACCCCGTATCTTATTATTGTGATCAAGAGCATACCTGTTTGAAAACACTGTTTTTGCTGGTTAATTACATAGCAGTGACAAAAATCAGGCAATATTGTAGCGAGCTATTAGGAGAGGTAGCCAATTGTGTTCTGTGTGAATGTATATGAAAATTCTGGACAGCTTCATTTTCAGGAAAAGGCTAAATTACTATTCTCCCCTGCCCTCCCTTAACTGGGAAATGAAGGGCAACACAGCTGTTACACAAGAGGTTTGCCAGTTTCATGTAAACATCTGATTCAAGTGTGAGAAGCTAGACATGGGTTATTAACTGATGAAGATTGTTTATATTTTGTCTTTAGAAAGTAACTGCATCGTCAAGAGATAGTAACCAAAGATATTTGAACAAAGTTGCTCTGCACTTGAGCTTGACTATCTCAGATGTATTTTGTACTTTTATTTCAGTACCAGACTGGGCTCAACACCATTAGATAGTCTGTCCCACACAGAACTTAACACAGGATGCCTTCTATCTTTGTGATAAAACACTTTGGAATAGCCAGCCCATGAAACAATATTGTAGACACTGATATCAAAATCTGTGGGCTCTGCACAACTCCTTGTTCTGTGTGGTAGAGAAGTGGGTTCTGAAAGAAATGAAAAGAGATTTAAAACAGTAAAAATGCTCTATCTGACCGATATGTTTAACACAAAAGAAGACAGATTTGTTCTACAAGTTAGAGAGTGTTGAAGCAACAGTCCCAACTTACATCTAATAGCAAATGGGAAAAATTCTTCTTCACTGATCCATACCATAATGTTTATTAAAGCTGACTTTTTAGTAGCCATTTCCACAACCTATGTATTGCCTCGGCTGAGAAGCAGTAGTTCATGACTCTAGAAAAAGGCAGTGATGCTTGGCATCATAATCAGTTGGGTATATTTGTAATGTGAATTACAGTATTTGTTTAGTACTTCCAATTGTCTTCTGCTAGCAATATGTACAGTAATGTGTCAGGCTTGTGACATTTGGGTAAAAAAAGTTCCTGTAAGTGAATGAATTTAGCTTTTACAAATAATTATGACCAAGTCAATTTAATCCATCTGACTTGATGTATAATTTATAAATGGAAAAGGTTTATAGAATCTCCATAGCATTCTATAATAATGATAAAATATATGTGGTAAAGAAAAGAAAACAAGAACTTTCCCAGGCTTATAGTCTTGACCTTAAGAGGCACGCAGGGTTTAATGGTTTCTTTTGTTATTGTTTTGCAATTTTTTGTTTTTGCCTTAAGTAATGATAGAAGATATATATGGCTGGACACATATGTATAAACTTTTCAGCAGCATTTTTAATAATAAAATATCACAGTATTTTCTAATGCTTTGTGCAAAGAATTATGTGTTCATCCTTTTTATTTAACTTTTTGGTAGAACATCTTTTACAAATATTTTAAAATCCCTTTTTAATGATCCAGTGTAAAAGATGCCTAGATGTACTGTATAAAAGTATTAAATTAACAGAGGTTGGATTTTCCAGATATTGAGTTGGCATAGCTTTTAAAGCTTTATAAGCCCATTGCTCAGGTGAATGAACAGTGGACTTTGATGCTCAGATGGTGAAGATATTGTAGAAGAGAGAGCTCCATATGTTTATTTGTATGCTCCGCTGAACTCTGTTGTGTGTGTGTTTAACATTGTCACAGAGCAAAATATTCTAAGGGAATGCATAGCTAACTGCCTTCCATGTAATTTTAAAATTTATTTTTTTTCTCCCAAAATAGGTTTCAGGATAAAACTATAATTCTTACCACCTCAGTGTCTACAGTGCAATCAGACTGCAGCATCTGCAGAATACCTGAGCCTGCTTTGATTTAGTTAGTTCACATAACAATAGCAATGAAGCCAAGGCAGCACAAGCTATATAGGCCGATTAGAACCATAGGTATGTACTGGAGCTGCTAGCCCATACTGCCAAGACTTTACTGCTCTTATTATTTGAGCTAGCTAGATTATACTCGCTTGGAGATATCTCTACATACTACTATCATACTTCTTTTTGCAATGATCATTCATTTCTGTTTAGAATTAGCTCTTTGGATAGTATAGCATATGTATGTTGAAACAAATGTCATGCCATTATCCATATCTATCATGGGGTGAACTCTAATGACATCTTCACATAGAAGAGTTTTATTATTCTTGTCATAAGATGGGTGAACAGTTTTAGTTTCCCCTTTTGTCATGTTAAAATGTTTTTATCATCTGAGTTTCCTGTTACTGAAGTGATGGATATGTGGAAGGGGATGATGTCCCTAGACTCTGTTTGCCATAACTGGGAATAGGTGACAAGGAATGGCTCACTTGGGGTGTGTCTACATTGCACCCTTGCCTCTAAATAAGCTAGGCAATTTGAGCTAAGGAAACGGTGTAGCTTATTTCAAGGTAATTTCAAAATAAAGTGCTATTCCATAACGTCCCTTAACCCTTGTGGAATGAGGTTTGCAGGGATGCTGGAATAGTGTGCCCATTATTTAGAAAAATATTTTGAAATAACAGGCTGCTTTAAAGATATGGAATAGCTCTTTCGGGATACTTCCGGTATTCCAAAATAGCTCTGCTGTCTAGATGTACCTTTGATGATTACCTGTTCTGTTCCTTCCCACTGGGACACTTGGCATTGGCCACAGTCAGAAAACAGAATACCGGGTTAGATGGACCTTTGGTGTTAGATGGACCTTTTGTCTGAACCAATATGGCCAATCTTATGTTCCGGTGATTTGGGTGACTACAACAAATACTGTCTTTGAATATTTGTTCATGTTTGTAAACACGCTCAGTTTTAGCTGTATTTCTGTCCCTTTTATTTTGTTTGCTTTCTGTAATGGTTTTGTTGAAAATCTTTACTGACAAATGTTTTCTGAATTTGGAGCCTATGTTGAAAAGCAAATTTTGAATTAGGAACCCCTCAGGAGTTACATCTAGACTCAGACATTAAAAGCCCTGTTTGGTGCACAGAAGTGTACTGGAACTATAGGTATGTAATGAAGCTGCTAACCTAGTGCTTAACATTATCACAGATCAAAATATTCCAAGAGAATGCATAGCTAAACTGCTTCCAATGTAAATGTAAAATTTTAAATTTGTCTCCCAGATTAGGCTTCAAGATAAAACCATTTGTATTAATTGCTACTACCTCAGGGTCTACCTTGCAATCAGATTGCAGTATCTGCAGACATACTTGAAGTAGCTTTGATCTAGTAAGTTCAACACCTTGAATTCTGAATGAATGAAGATTGCAAATAAGCTACAGATCAATTATTGGTCAGCAAATATAGCTGTATGAGAAGTAACATCAGGAAATTCATAGCTTGTTGAAAGACAATTCACAGAAAGATAGGCTGAAATTGCTAAAGATAGACTGAAATTACATTGTGAATTGTTCACCCAAATTGTTGGTAATCGTTCAGTAAATAACCTTCTATCTAAACAGTGCAATGCTAAAAAGGTGAGATGCAATATCTTCTCAAGTTAAGAAAATATCAGTTCTTTTTAGAATTAAAAAATATTACAAATGAGATTAGGTTGCTGTTTACCTTTTACTATGCTGATTCATGGTATTTAATGTCATAGACACAACACATGAAATAGTACTATGGCAGCTGTATGCTTTTTTCAGCTCTATAGATACTGCAGCACTGATAGAGCAACATCTGAATATCTTCAAAAAGTTGGGTCTTTAGTTTTGGTTACAATGAATTAAAAATATCTTTCATTTATGGACAGCACTTTCTTTCTTCTAATCCTTCGGCAGGTCATCTTGAGTGACAAATGATCTTTGATTTTGATATCTCGTGTCACCCTTTTTTCTGTACCTGACAGTCACATTATTCATTTGAGGCTCCTTTTATGTTATTGGCTTGTCATATTGGACACTACTTGTGCAAGATGTGTTCCGAAGGTGTTTTCCTGACGCATCCATGGTGTTTATCCCCAAATCCATTTCTGATATGCAAAATTTCTGCTTTTGGTTCATTCTTATTACACTTTCACTATTTAAAAAATGTTCCTATGAAGGTGTAGTTAGACAAAAATATTTCTCATCCCACAAAAGTATCTGATTCTAAGGGCTGCCTGCTCATTTGCTGGTTTAACAGGCATGCTTTGGTATGTTAATTGTTTTAGAAGAAGGTACCAACCTAGAGTCAATGTATTCTGCTTTTATAGAGGCAGGAGTTTTATAATTCATATGATTTATTCTTAACATGTTTTCTTCTCTGCATTATATTGGAATCATGAATAGATTAAATTAGGCTGTCGCATCGTTGCACTGCAGGTTTCCTAAAGGCAAAAGGAACTTGTTATTCTTTTCTAGGTAGATGTGGCTAGTAATACTATATTATGCTAAACAAAAAGTGTTTGTAAAGTACCCTGCACAAAGACTAAATTGACATAAAAAGGGCAGCTGTGAAGCCTTTTGTCTTGTGTAATCAAAGCTGTTGGACTCGGTGTATACTGACTCTTGTTGGTTTAACCTTCTGTTAGTCTGATCCATGTCGTATGACTGAGGATAGGCAATAAAGAGTTATCTCTTACCAGCCCGCCTCTGTATATCACGCCCATTTGTATGTCACAATTTCAGGGACTGCCTGGAAACAGTGAAATGAGCTTTTTCCCTGTAGCTGCTAGGCAGAAGTGGACATTCCCAGTGAGGCTATGGCTGCTTTTGGAGGTGTACTGAGCCCACCAGATTCAGGAGAGGGCACGAAGTGGCCGGATAGAACTATCCTGAGGACTATGAGAAGATAGTATCTAATCACAAGGCACAGGCATGGGGACCCAGCATGCTCTGTGCTCAGCTTCAGCCCAGGCTACTGTGCTGTTTTCAGTTGGCCATTGGGGAGAAGGGAGTAGGGCGGACAATGTGGCAGTTAGAAGCCCAGATACAACCCCTCCCCTTGCACCATGGCTCATAACAGACCTTGAAGAGAAATTACCGAAGCTGAGTCCAGAATCTATATCTACCACATCCAATGAGCTAGGCCCCTATGCTTGTCCTAGGCCGGGGCTGGCCAGAACCATGTGATGAGACACCCTATAACCAGTGGGGATAGGACTGGCTCACTACTTCCCTGCCCCTTTCAAGGCTGGTACTGGCCCTGTCCCCCTTATGAGCAGCCATGGCCTCAGCAGAGATGACCATTTTTTCCTAGGAGAATTCATAGCAATTGTAGGGGACTCAGCAGCTGTGCACAGCGCATGAAATTTGACTTATATCAAAATTTTTAAATGAAAAGCCATGATTTTCTGAAGGCTTTGTCTATATCACATCTTTAATACATCATGTTGTAAATGAAACAGGCAAAAAGCTTCTGTAAATCTAAGGGCCATCCTTCTGCCAATATGTTTAGATAGTGGTAATGCTTCCAGAACACTGACTAAACTATGAAGAGAACTAATGAAAGTGAAAAGGAAATGCTAGCAATCAGCTTTGGTTGAGAATTGTTTCATGCATGTTTATTGGTACAGTACAGTCATCCCTGGAAACCCCACTACTGAATGATTGAGCAAAGCACTGACTGCCTTTCAGACAATGATCATGATATTGCAAAAAATGCATGTGAAACACAGGTAAGGAGTTTCCCCAAAGGCTGTGCTTTCAAGAGTGCCTTTAAACAGTGCAAGAAAGGAACCGAAGTGAATGGAATTCAAAGTAAATGTGACTATAGTACAACTCATTTCTGAAACAAAATTTGATAAGCTCAGCGTAGAAATTATACAATTATACAATTAATTCCAGCACCCCAGCTCTATGTCCTCCCTTTATTAACAGAGGTGATTCAAAACACTTCTGTTTTAAAGTGTTAGGGCATGGTTCAGGGAATACATCTTTGTTTGTTTACAGTTGCCCCTGAAGGCCACATTAAAGTTAGGGTTGCCAACTCCAAAACATAAACCTTGGCCATTAGCCACCTCCCACACCATCAACAATAAAAGGGTCCTACTACCAATTATAACTAGTAAATACAATATTTTGGAGAAAAATTTTACATTCCCACACATACACACAAAATCCTCCACAATATGTGTTTTGTTGTTGTTTTATTGGTTTACTTCCATATCCTAACATGGAGCTGCTCTCTGTACTATAGGGATATGAACACCATAACTGGTCTCAAGTGGACAAAAAAGGATATTAAAACTTTAACATGCAAATCAATACATTGAAGGAATAGAATCTGGACACCGTATGTGAAGCAAGCAGGAGAGTTTATTACACACAGCGCGCTGGATGGAGTGTCACTTGCTAAGCTCAGTGAACACTGCCAAACAATAGGTTACAACTAGTTATATAGGATGCTCAATGGGCAGATCAAAGTGATGGGAGGAGGGATGATCCCAGATCCCCTGGATAGATGCTAATAGTAAGGCAAGATAAGAAGCAATACTATAAAGTTACAGTAAAACAAGTATTTAAACAAAGCAGAATAGTGGTAGAAATGTAGCCGTGTTAGTCTGGTGCAGCTGAAACAAAAAACAGGACTATGTAGCACTTTAAAGACTAACAAGATGGTTTAATAGGTGATGAGCTTTTGTAGGCCAGACCCACTTCCTCAGATCAAATAGTCGAAGAAAATTGTCACAACCATATATACCAAAGGATACAATTAAAAATATGAACACACAGGAAAAGGACAAATCAAATTTCAGAACAGAAGTGGGAGGGAGGGAGGGGGATGGGGGGGGGAGGTAAATGTCTGTGAGATAATGATATTAGAGGTGATAATTGTGGAAGGTATCTTTGTAATGGGTAAGATAATTAGCGTCTTTATTCAAATATGCATGTAAAGTGTCGAATTTAAGCATGAATGACAGTTCAGAGGATTTTCTTTGAAGTGAAGTCTTAAAAGGTCTTTGAAGCAGGATGCAGGTAATCAAGTCGTTGAGACAATGTCCTTTCCGGTTGAAATGGCAAGAAACTGTTTTTTCTTTGTGATACTGTCTGATATCTGTTTTGTGGGCATTGATCCTTTGGCGAAGTGTCTGAGACGTTTGTCCAATGTACATAGCGGACGGACACTTTCGGCACATGATAGCATAAATTATATATCTGTATGCGCAGGGATATGTGTTCTTGATCTTATAACTCACTTGATTGGGTCCAATAATGGTATCAGCAGAGTGAATATGTGGACAAAGCTGGCAACGGGGTTTGTTGCAAGGGAAGGTGCCAGGGTTGGTATTAGTGTGGTATGTCCTGTGGTTGTTGGTAAGAATCATCTTGAGGTTAGGTGGTTGTCTATAGGAGACTATGGGTCTGTCTCCCAGAGCCTCTCGGAGTTTAGTATCCTGTTCCAGTATAGGCTGTAGTTTATTGATAATGTGTTGGACAGGTTTAAGTTGGGGGCTGTAGGTGATGACAAGTGGTGTTCTATTGTTGGTTTTC